TGATTAAATAAATGAAAACAAATGCTCACTATTCTAGGAAATAAACATCACTAAAACCAGTACATTAAATATTATACATATTTTGTAATGAACACAAATTAAAAAATATTCAAAATGCATATTGTTGCAGCATTGTGTTTACTTAATTTGTAGGAAGTTATTTAAATTAAATATTTTCCTGAAAGTAACAAATATGACAAATACATTTGTCATAACTTCAATCTTAGCTTATTCTTTAATTTCATCATTACATATCTCATGATCAATCAATAAAAATTTTGATTGAATATAATACTGAAATTGAGGTACAATGAATTCCAAAAATTATATTGTTATAAAAACTACTGCTATTTTCAAATATGTGTATTTTGAAAAATAATATTGTTTTTTAAAAAGATAATCTAAATATAGATAAGTCGGAAAATCTTTAAATTTTTTAAATGTGTTTATTACTGCACATAAAAAAGGCAATGCCTCCTGTTCAGGACTAAAATTTGCAATCACGATTTTGACATTTATTTTTATATTAACAATACTGCATTGAAAATTAGTCATAGATGGAATGTTTTGTGATATTGATTGCAATTTCTCAGTTCTTTTTATGTGTTTTTGTAAGAAACTAGATGAAAGCTTTGCAAGAGAATTTCATCTGATATAAATATATTTACACTTTACTAAAAGCTAGAAGTGAATAAAGAAAATAAATACTGACTTCAACTGCTTCTTGAGCTTCCCATGCACATGGCCTGAAGTCTTCAGGAGAAAAGTGAGTGATAACTTCTTCAACTGCAGCATGTTTCAGCTCCACCATTCGCATAAATGCACGGAAACCAACTGTTTCCCCAACCACTGCCTCATCAGTAGTAGTTTCTTCTGTGAGAACTTGTGAAATAAGAGCACCATGACCTTCACGCTCTACTAACTGTACAAGAGCAGATTGGGCAACTGGTGTTTGCAATGCTGGAAAGCGGTCTGCTTGGTATAAAGATGTAATCTCATTTACTGTAATTCCATTGCGGACTAAGTAACCAATACGGGCTAAATCTCGAAGAGGGGATTCTCCAGGACCAAACTCTTTGGCTTGGATGAAATTCATTAGTTCTTCAATTTCAGTAGCAATTTTTGTTTGTTGTGTTTTCAAGATTTCCTCAGCATGAGTAAAATTCTCCTTGTGAATTATTTCCTCTGACTGGATGACTTCTTCTCTCTTTTCTTGAATAATTTTACTAATCACTTGTTCATCTTGCTTTATCTCTTCAGTTTTAATTTCACTTACTGTAACTTTATCAGATGTTGGAGCTTTCTTTTCAGGTTTTGCATGATGTAATTTTGGTTTCATATCTACAAGCTCTTCCACAATATCTTCAGACTGCACTTCAGACACTGTAACTGATTCTTGAACGGAAACTTTCTTGTCAGCTTTCACTAGTTCTTGTGTATCTGTAAGTTCTTTTACAGTTATCTCTGACTGTACTTCTGAGACAACAAGGGGTTTCTGAATAGATGTGGTCCTAATTGCACGCTCTTCCACAACCTCTTCATTAGCAAAATCTTGCACTGTAACATCTGAAATAACTTCTGATACATTTAATGAATCTTGAACTGACAATTTATGTTCTGCTTTTACTTCTGTATGTTCTTCAGTAAATTTCTTTGCTATCTGCTCAGTCATGACTTCTGACACAGACACAGACTCTTGCACCAAAGTTTTTCTATCTGCAACTACTTGTGTTCTTTCATCTTTAAAATCTTTCACAGTATCTTCTATTTGAATTTCAGACACCTGAATAGATTCTTGTGTTGGCACAATTGCTTGAGCTTTCTCTCTAGGAGATACAATTGGTTCAACAGTTTCATCAACTTTCTTGCATGAAGCAATTGCAGAAATTTCAACTGAATCTTGGATCGGCACAATGGGCTTAGCCGTAACCTGAAACCAAAGCATATCAATAAAACACCAGGAAGCCAAGAAAAAATGTAATAAATCAAGGGAACCATTTAATATTGATATTTTGTGGATAATAAAAAAAGGATACAAATTGGATGTTATTTTATGTTCACCAAAAGTTACCAAAACTTTTATTGAAGAAACCACCTAATCCTCATCATGAATCCCCATAAGAAAGTCATTATTTATCAAAATGGAAATCAAATGAACTGTGTTTAATACATTGAACACAGTTCATTTGATTTCTGGTTTGATAAATGAGAGTTTAAGAGTTTTTAAAAAATGTATTCAAAGACTATTAGAAAGTGGCAGCTCTGATTTAGTTTAAAATGAATGAAATAACATTCATAAGCAGTGTGATTTTCCTTGCTGGTGATCATGTGCCACAGGTATAGTCATTCTATGAGCACACTTATGCAATCCATTTGCATGCTACAGGTACAGCCCCTGGGATAGGAGAAGGGTATTGCCTCTTCACACAAATATTTGAGAGGACCCTACATATTACATTTATATTATTTTTGTGTAAACAGATAATTTCTCATTAAATGTGTATGTTCAAGAAAGATGTGGCCCATATCTAAGAATTTAGCAATGAATAAAATGGTTTGGTAAAAGAAAAATCTGTGGACCAAGCAGTTGTGAACAAAGGGAAGTGGAAGAAAGGGAATGGACATAAAGTGATGTATGGTGGATAAAAAATAGCAGACAAAAGGTTCTCTAACACTCCCTCCCTCTTGTAAAGCAAATGTAACATGTCATACCCCCAGTAGATAAGTGTCGTAACTCAAAAAAGGTATAAACTACCCTTCAGTAATTACATAATGTTCTATGTTAATCATCCCTCAGAGTCATTTTATTTCAGATTTTATATCCTTATGAGAGCTGAAAAATATTTAATCTGTATATTAATATTAAATGACATACAATAATTTTACACAGCATTGCATATTACTAATAGAAAAATTATAATATAATGAAAATTGCTATAAATTCACGTTCCTATTCAAGAAACCCATTGATATATTTCAAATAAGATTTAAATAAAACAGAATAAAATAAATAAAAAATTGTAAATTTATCACAACATGCTTCTATACTGATTATTTTAATTCAAACAAAAAACAACTTCCTGCCAATGAGTTGAAAAAAGGATCTCAATGCAGATAATTAAAATTTTGTAATTTGATTGTGTTTGCACATCTAGTTGAGCATTAATATCAGTCATTGTTTTGTAGCTACTTGGACATGTACTTTTTTGTGGAATACTTCATTCCTCTGACAAGAATGCTTCAAATGTACCACCCATCTGGATGGAGAAGAATGGTATGAAAAACTATACTCAATGCAAATTCTTGTTGAAAGATGTCTGCAAACACTAGTTCAATAGAGATCATTAGAAATAACTTCAAAAGATTCAGCATTAGCTTGAAGCACATCTTGTAACTGATAAATTTATTAAATAAGATGGGTATAGGTAATTTTGGCCATTCAGGTTGGAATTCAGAAATTCAGAACAAATAAGATTATTCTTTGTAAACATTAAAGAAGTAAGTGGAGATAGAAATAGTTTATGACAGATAGCACAATTTTATAAAGTTGAATAAAAAAATTTAATTTATAAATAATTCAAAATCGTTATATAACCCTGGACCTTCATGCCACCTGCCATAGATGTAATTACAGGGGAGGACATGGGGAGCCTTTAAATGGCCATGCACCAACCCCCTAAGGAAAAATATATTACAGTCCAATATTATAATTATTGTATATTATTAGAACTAATCACCTGAGAAAGAGGTAGTACCACACATAATTATAACACGAATTTTCAGATGTTTAATTCTCTTTTGCTTCTAGATTTGCTGGTTTTGAGCAACTGAGAATGTAATATCAATCAGCAATATCTTTCATGGGTGTTTAAAATATCTCACCTACTTTTTAAAAATATTTATAAGAAGATTTTATATTCAGTATAATTGAATAGAAGAAATAAAATTGCCAAAATAAATCGGGGAGTCAAACAGTAGTGCCCACTTAACCCACTCTGTATAATATTTAAAAGAGCAAAGTATCAAATTTCATTACAAACCATTTGATTACTATTACTGAAAACCAGGTAATAATTTCTTGATGTGAAAATGATATGCAAGAAGCTATTTTTTAATCGAGCACTGTAGCCAGGGGCAAATTTTTAATATAACTCTATCCCATTCTGAAACTAACTAATGACACTCATGGTATCCCATTTTCTAAGAGATAAAATTGAAATTAATAATCATGTTATTATCCTTTGTATACCTAGTCAAATAACATTACCTGTTCTGTGGTATTTGCAAATGTTGTAGTTGTTTCCATAACTTGCGTTTCCTGTACACCAGCTGTTGTCCTGTTTAACAATAAAACATTAATTAAAAATATTCATTGAAGTAAAGCTAAAAAATTAATATATAATTGAATAAGAATGTAGATTTGGAAAAAAATATAGACCGTTTGTCTTCTGATTCAGTTGTGATTGTTCCTTTCTTCTTGCGTCTCTTTTCAATTTTTTCTAATTTCACTCTTTCTAATCTAATCCTCTCTTCCTCTTCTTGTGCTCTCTTCAGTTCAATTTGTTGTCTTGCTTCTAATGACATAGCTGTAGAAGAAAGAGTAGTTTATTTTTTAACAAATTCACTTTTGATGAAATTCTTCAGTTTGTGCAATAATATGCCATCAGAATGACTAATTAATATTTCTAGAAAAAATATTTATTAATTTATTAAGGACTAATTATCAATTTCATTTGGACTAAAGTTTATCTTTTAATTGTGATAAAATAATTATTCTGACTGCTTTCTACCTCTCTGAAATTTTTTAAAATATTTTCTAAACTGTTACAGAAAAAATATTACGTTTCCCACAATAGACTTTAAAGCACTTCGAAAAGAAGTTTCCTGTTTTTCATTAGTACGTCAAAAACATATACTAAATATAGGGCTCACATACTTCAAGCTGAAAACTGTTAATATGAAGTAAATTATTTGCTACTTTTTTAATAAGAGAGAATTACCTTGAACATATAGCTGTGCTCTTGTGGTTTCAGTACCAATATCACTGACAGCTTTACAAACATAGGTACCTTCATCTTCAGGTGTTGCTTTCAAGATTGTGCAGGTAGTCTTATTATTCTTTATTCGTATTTGAATATTCTTGGTGTTACGAAGGCTTTTATCATTTTTGTACCATGTTACATCTGAAAATAATAATTGCAAGTAAATGTTTTCTAAGTTAAGCTGTTGAGCTTCTTGGTAACAATATTTATAAGATTGTGGTGGAGAGGCAAAGATGAAGAGTAAAGGTAGATATAAGGGTGTAATGGTGAGAGTGTGGTGGTGGTATTAGACGAATAGGATTAGAGTGTGAGTACTGATGAAGATGGAGTAAAGGAAGCAGTGGTGGTGCCCATCAGTCCTTTTCCATATTGGGTTGACGTGGTCCCCAATTTACAATACCCAGAAAAATGTCGGTCCCCAATATACATGTAGAATTGAAAGTAAGTTTCACGATATAAAATGAAGGGATTATTACGACCCATCGCCCGCGCCGTGCCGGAAAAGAAAATCTAAGGGCTCCTTTACACGAAGCAGCGCTTCCGAGTGACGCGTCTGCTAACAAAGCATTGGCTTGAGTGGAGGTCTTCCCAAGTGCGGCGGGTTGGCGCCGCTTCGGTGTTCAGGACTCGTTACGCGAAGCACAGGAGGGCGGACGCGCCACCGCTAGCAGATAATTGTTTTAAATGATGGTATTCCCACTGCGCCGCCGGTCGCGGCGTTTTACATGCTGCGGTCCCTTTGTTCGATGTCGCCGGAGGGTCGGCGAAACCTACCCTTGCAGAACCCATCCCTTTCACGGCGGGCGGCGCCGCGGCAGTGGGTGCAGCGGTGGCGGCGTCGGAATAGCCCTGCCGCTTAACGGAAGCGCATCGCCGTGGCGACGTGTGAAGGCACCCTAAATGTCAGCGTTCACACAAGATGTGTTACTGAACCGGCCTTTGCCTGCCGCCACGGGTCTTTGTCGGTCGCCAGAGCCCACACCGGTGTGACTCATGTCACCTTCCTCTTTCGCGGTCGGTGGCGGTCGGCGATGGCTGTGTGAAGGGGCTCAGCGTTTCTCGGCGGCGTCACCGAGTGTCCTCGTGTGAAGGCAGCCTTACCTTACCGGGAGCGGGCTGCTTGCGCTCGGGAATGTGAATGAATATCTTAAATTGAGGGATTGAAATGCAGAAGAAAGTTAACTTAAAAGGAAATTACGACGGGGGCCTTCTCGTATTTTCTTCACCGGCGTGACTCGGGGGCGCGGGGCTCAAGTAGGCCAGCGGGCGCAGCGACGTGGGAACCGTCGCACGCACAGAAACGAGAATAAAATTAACGGTCTTCCAAAATCCATATAGTTTTCTCTGAAATATAGAAACTTTCCAAAAGTCTGATATCGCCACAAACATGTTCAACGCTGACTAACAGTGAATTAAGAAATCCGTGTGGCTCAAATGTGAATCGTTATCAGAGGCTGCGCGCGGCTGAAATGTGAGCCGATTGTAGTGAAATACTTAAATTGTTTGAGGCACGATTCTTCAAGTAGGGATCTCAAGATTTAATTTTATATCTGATAAAAGTAATTTGGATAAAAATTCACGCAGCTATGGGCTTTTGAAAATTGCCTATTTTTAGTTTATTCACGTAAAAATAGCCATATTTCGAGCAACAGTGACACACATTTTTGCCAAATAAGTAATGTGTTGTGATTAGGTCATTTTTATGGGATGTAGTAGACACCACATCTCTTGAAAAAATAACATTAAATATTATTTACTCTTTAGTTTCTAAAAAGTACCTCAAAAAGGCGAAAAAATAGGTGTGTTTTTGAGGTTTGTGGCACTCTTAAACCCATGTTAAATATTGTTTCTTAAATATAGGTCGTTTTTTTACATTAAAAATTACATGTTTTTGCTAAGCCATTTTTAGATGTTTTGTAGAAAACAATTCAACGTCATTAATACGAGTTTCAACGTCATTAATTCGTATTTTTTGTAATCAATGAGCTCTTGATTCTACAGATCAGTCGCTAGTTCATATTCAGCTATTGTACCCCAGTCCACCGCTTAATCTTCAGTGGCCCCTTTAAATTCCCATGGCGTCTATACGTGCAACCCCACTGGGAACCCTTGTACTAATCCTGCAGGAGTGGATTTTGCTGGAGCGTCACAGCAGTTGACAGATCCGCAAGATCGCAGTGCAGCAAGAGAGGTTTTGGACCCCCCCCCCCCTTGCCAACAGTGGAAGGCTCTCGGCTGAGGGAAGCGAGCGCCTGACACTCCAACAGGCGAGTCACCGTTTCAAGTGTAAATCGCAAACTTCGACGCTACGGCGTTGAAAAGTCAGAACAAAAGGTACAATTTAATGAAAAAGTGGGAATTCAAAAATAGCGAGAATATTTTGTATGCTTGCTGGAAATTTAGTGAAACTGGTGAATATTTATTTTATTTTATTTCATTTCATTTCATTTTAAAATTCAATTCACAAAATTGAATCGGAAAGATTAATGGCATTTTTATGACCCATAGTATCGAAAGAAATCCGAATAACATTTATTTATTAATTGCATTCCATACACATTCAGTTCGCTTATGTTAGTCAATGTTATACCAAAAGGAATATTAGCTTGAAAGCATCCTCGTCATGTATATAGCTCACGTAGTTCTGCAACGCTCGCTTGTGACATGACCTATTCGTTCAGAAGGCCTCTGGGCAATTCTCTGACCTGTGAAACGACTCTCCGTGAGCGAGCGCAGGGCGCTTGAACTTCCGGCGCTCGAGAATGTAACGCTCGAGCGAGTACGAGCGAGAAATGGATCTCGTAGCACTCTGTTATGTTCTTTACAGTGTGTCACAGCTAAAGCCCGAATCTGGCTAATCCCGGTAACTGTTCACGTTATTACAAAATGCGTAGATAAATTCCAAAGTATGAATAGCTTCGAAGCATAGGTACTTCGAATTGAGCCGAAGTTCGCCTTATCCAACACAAGGTGGCTACGGAAGGTGAAGTACTTTACGGTGACTAGAAATAGCTGGTATTATATGATAAACAGGGATCAGAAAGAGATCTGGTGGGAAATTTCTAACGCTTGAGAAAGGTGAGTAGTTTCGAGTTCTACTGTGTCACTTTACTTTAGCCAGCGCGCTGTGACTAACGATCTGACCATCGTCATTCATACAGATTCATCTACAGCGTCCGGCTAATGAGTGAATTAACCAGCTGTTCCGAACATTATCCATATTTCAGACTTTATCCATGACAAATCTATACGTACATATATTAATACAAAATGATCACACGATGTGAAACTTACCAGGCATAGGATTTCCAGAAAATTGGCATTCAAATGTAATTGATTCATTTTCCTGAACTCTTGAATCTTTGATTTCTTGTACAAATGTTGGAACACATTGAGTGGCTGTAAAATAAATAAAATAATCTTTTATCGTTTATGAAATTAGTTCACATTCCACAAACCAAAGTAAATATTATGTACATAAATAATAATTTGAAAATTGTGATTGTAATAATGCAAAATAAAAATACAACTTAGTACATTACTAATTCTAAGAATCATTATAATGATAAATGATATGTGAAATTTCAGAAATTTCTGTAAGGTATTCATTTAAAATTCTGCTCTGTAAACCCTTTTACATCAATTAGAGTTTGTATTAAAGTAATTAGGTTGTATTCGATATTTATCGGCCTGATTTATGAAGAAAACCAGTGCGTTTCCGACTACTCTTTTTATTATTAGCCCCATTTCTAGTGCTCCTACTTCTCATCTTAGCAGATGTAATGAACTGTTAGAATCATGGCACACTATGTCCAAATAACTAACATCTTTTATGACCATTGAGCATATATAACACGGTTGTTCAGTGTTAAAATTTTGAATCAGTTGCATCGCTTAACCATAATTTGCTGCACATGTTGAATATAGGGATTTTTGAAGACTTGGCAATCTTGCACAATCCTCCAATTCTCTCAATTCTTCAATCACAGCGTAAAGTGGAAAAAGTACTTCACATGACAGCACTGATTGAGGTTTTCTGAGTTTACTCAATCACTTAAGACGTATGCCGGGATGGTCCCTAGATTTGTACTCCCAGACGTAAATGTACAGCTTGTCCTCCCCTATTAAAATGTTACTACTCTATATGAATGTAAATTCAGTGGTTAGGCGGAACAGCAGACCCTATGGCCTGAGCCTCGCCATTAATAAAAGCATTATTATTTATTATATTTATTTTTTATCACAGAAGAACGTAAGACGAGGCAAATCGAGTGAGTGATTGTTGAGAAATTGCGTTGAAAAATTGTTCCACATCGAGAGAAATGGAGCGACGAACCATCATGGAGGTACTACATTTGCGAACGACTCATATAGGATCTTCGTGAAGACGTGCACGTCTAAGGAACTGAATGTATAGATTCCCATTAAGTCGCGCTGGATGCACAGAAGGGCCGATCAGGTAATTGATAATAGAAGTTCACTTGAATCCATTCCTGATGCACCATTTAATGCGTAACAAGACGGTTACTCTTGTGCAAACGTGGCTGCTCCTGCTGCTGAAGACAATCCCTCGTCAATTGAGCCTCATCACTAAAAGTAATGGTGCTGACGAATTGAGGTGTTTTCGCGATACGCCCAAAATACCACCAGGCGAATTTGCACGCATTGGGGAGTCGTAGGAAGAGTCGTTGCATGTACGTTTTGTCTGCGGTCCGGGTGCAGCTGTTGAGAATGAATGACTATCCAAAACGCTGTATGGTCGATTGTTGTCCACACTTAGAAGCTGTACACGCCCCGTGTTACTTCTCGGATTGCCCTCAACCGCCTCCAGGACCTTTTCTCCAATCTCACAATTTTGGTAATTTTTTTCTACCAATTCCGTTTCTACCCTCTCTAAATGTCCTGCAATTCAATTGGCATTCAACACTAAGAACATGTTAAACGGCACAGATGTTGCCAGCAGTGAAGCATTACACTAAGCTGACCGGATGAAAATCCAGATATCGATGAAAAGGAGGACAAGGGCTTAAAAAAGAAGACATTTGGTGGAAAAAGAGGACAGTCCATATTTCAAATAACAATGTAATATGTGACACATATGCGTCCATTGTTTTCTCTCGATAGGCTTCAGGACATCGTTA